TGTTTTTTTTTTGTTTTTTTTTGTTTTTTTTTTGTTTTTTTTTGTTTTTGTTGTTGTTGTATATAGGTGGCATTTTATGAAATCTTGAATAATTTATGGGTACGTAATGGATTGCAAATAAGAGGACAAGCAATGACTTACATTCAATGCAATTTCTGTAATTCAATGGTGGATGCCGATCTGTATTTATTACAAATATGCGCTACCCAATTACAACCCGACGTTTTCTTGGCAACAATAATTGAAAAGTAATTTGAATTACATATATGTAGATACATACGTATGTGTGACATTTAAAGTAAATATTTCATTTTTTTTCTATTTCATTAATTTCAATTTTTAGGTTTCATGTTAAGGAGTGGATGAGCTTAAGTCGTTATCATGCACCGCAAAATGAGTATCTCGAAGGTGAACATGATACCTCAATGTTAGAGAGCTGTTTGACTTTTTTGGCAACATTAGTGAATGTTCGAACCAATTTAGGCAAGTTTCTTATTAAAGGGGAAAAAACCTCTAATACGTCAAAACCTTTTAAATAACCCGTACAATTATCACGCGGAAATTTCCTTCTCGTGCACACTGTGAAAAAAATAATGTTTTTTACAAATAGAAAATAACATTTTTATACCGTACCGTATTAGCTATAAGCCTGATTAATACTAATTGATAATTCATAAAAATCCATTGGCTTAATAATAGGTCTTTCCGATCCCGAAATGTCATGCTTAGAAATGGTAACATTGTTATGTATAGCTGATAAAACTCATAGCCAGTTAATGGAATTGATGCCAGAACGCTGTGGCACTACTCAAAATCGAGATTTTGAATCTGTTTTAGCAGAGGTATGTCATTCGAATCTAAATATTCGACAGGTATTTTACGAGAACTCGACCGCATTACTAAATAAAATAAATGTTCAACATTCTTAATTATTTGTTGGTAAATATTAGGTAGCACATTACAGAGCGCCGAATCTAGAAGCTAGTGGAAACATGCAACAAGGCATGTACGGTCCAAAACCACGTGTTTGGGATGAATTGTTCGATCCATTACACGTTTTACTTAGAGCCGTACAAAGAAAGGACTTTCAAGTATCAATGGATCGATTTACAACATAGTAAGAATATTTTTATGTCTTGTCTACATATGCATTACGACCATTAAATTTGGACGTTTAAAAATTGAATGTAACGTGCATTACAGCGTAAAGCAGTCTGGTAAATTAAAAGCCAATGCTACACCCTGGCCTCCATTTCGTCATCCTGCACCCGTTTCCGCGGACTACGACGATCCACGGCTTGTACTTCGCTCCAAAGTATTTCACGCAATGATTTTCGTAATACTTTATAAGGCGGTCAATGGACAAAATATATCCGAGCACATAATCGCCTTAGCCATATATCTTTTAGAAATGGCCGTAGTATCCGCCGAAATCCCCGATAAATCTGTAAGTTTAATATTAACAGCATTAATGGCCTTAATATAATAATTGCACTCGAATGCAGCGTTAATGACTGCTTAATTTTTCAAACGTATAGACTCATCCCGTGTGTCAATATAATAGCGGCGGCGGAGCGCCACATGTCTTTAAAGACATGGACTTGAGTGGTTGGTTCAAAAATAATAATCTTTCGGAAAATTTGAGAACTCTGATACCTAGGGTCGTGTTGATCCAAGAACCAGAACAGAGCAGCTCTGACAGTAATGGCTTTGTTTGAATTCCTCCATGCATTTCTAATGTCAATTGCAATTTGTGCTCACGGTATAAATATTTGGCTTTACATTGTAGGTGAATTTGAATGGGAAATACAAGGTGAAATGACCGAGGTGACAATGTTGAACGACAGCGCCGACGAAAGTTCCAGCGGTGGTGTACTTGCTCTGCCGTCGTCATCGGATAACAATGACGTACCCGACGACAGCACTACTGATGCTGCCTCTTTGTCAGCTTTACCCACAACTAGCGGTATATGTCATTTTCAATTATTTTTTAGAATTAGTCAACGACGAAGGCCTATATTTATTAGTTACGCGATTTTTAATCATTATAATGTAATTTACTTGTAAATTGAATTTGTAACTTACTGCTTGTAACTTACTTTTGGACGATAGAATCGAAACGCCTTTAAGTTTTAGCAAATTTTTGCAATTGGTATCCTCTCTTCTCAATCGCCTTCTTAATAAGCAGATTGCAACGGGTTAAGAACGCTCTCGTTTAATGTTTTATTATTTTACGTAGTCGAATACGGTATTACATATGTACCGGAAGACAGGGTAGTCGCCATACCACGCGACGATAGCGAAGATGATTTATTACCTTTGTCAAGAGCACTGCCACCATCTACCGAGGAATCCACGGTATTTGCCCTCGAATCACATCCTACACCAAACAGTACGTATACAACGACAAAATAATTTCTCCTACATTCGTGTGTTTGTATGCGTTTGATAATCTGCTTGCTTTTTCAATTATTAATTTATTCGACATACTGCCTGGTGTATTTTATAGAGTACATTATAACGTCGTAATTAATATTTGTTTGGTCCTTTCCGGTTTTTTTTTTTTTTTTTTTTTTTTTTTTTTATTTATGTTTTTTATTATATATATATATATATATATATATATATATATATATCTTGAATTGTGATTTTTCTAATTAAAGCAAATGAAATGAATAGTCAACCCGCGCTTCCACCGACTATTCCACGTCCCGCCGTTTTGGCTGGCAATGAAATGGTCTTCGTTAATTCTATCATTTCAAGGCTCAATAATACTGAATCAACGTCGATTGAAATTGTACCTTCGACATCTAATTCTCATAAGCACTTCAGACGAAGAGATCCACAAGTAAGTTTGAAATAAAAATATTCTGTTTCATTCGATTAATATAATATGCGGCGTACGCTTGGTATAAAATATTGCGCATGTACATAATACATGTACGCTTATTACAAACTAGACTGGAGCTGCGCAACCGCAAATGGTACGAGTTGGAGAGAGCATAATTTCTCTACTACTGAAATTACATTCTCAATTGTCCGGAGTGCCAGACAGTTATAATCCGGAAGAGTTTTTGGAGGCGGAGGCTGGAAGCAGTATGGACACATCGGCTCCGGCCATCGAGTCGAGAATCGGTGACGGGCCGTTCTTCATCTCGCAGCTGTTGAAGAAAATAGCCAATTTAGATCCAATGTGTCGGGAAAACATTATTGATTCGAGAAATAGATTATGGCCGCGAATGCAAGATTGCGAGGAAGAGCAGAGGGAACGGGAAAATCGCGAGAAGGAGGAAAGGCGTCGGCGTGCTAGGGAAAGGCAGCAAAAACTGATGGCTGAATTTGCTAGCAAACAAAAATTATTTATGGAGAAGGCTATGGAATCTGGTCAGTGACTGTATTATCCTTACGATATAGTCTTTCTCTCTCTCTCTCTATCTCTCTCTCTCTCTCTCTCTCTCTCTCTCTCTCAACTATTAAATGAAACGATTTCAATATTCCTTCTATATGGAATACGATTTATGTATAGATGACGCAGACGGATTTGTTATGGACTGGGATTCGGACGAGGGTCAAACCAAAATGGCAAGCAAAAAAGAATACGATTGCGTTATCTGTAATCAAACGACACCGAGTAGCGAAGATAAGCCAATGGGTTTAGTAGTATTAGTTCAAGTAAGAATTGAATAGTATTTTCTTATTATATGTTCGATCGTGAGAGATGTAAAATTACCAGCGCAAATACATAAATTTATAATTTAACGAATTTTAGGCAACTAGCGTGATAGGTCATGAACGTCAACATCCCGAGCGTTTAACACTCCCTACATCCGATGATGATCCACCGATTCGACAACCGAATGACGACACTCGTGGAGCTCACTTCGATTACCGGATAGATGAATTAAATCGATCGTTTGATACGGTATACATACTTAGTAATATATTGTAATATATTTAGTAATGAATTGTGTCAAATTATATAATATTAAATGTGTTTTAAACAGCTTTCATGGTTAATATCGTTAAATTTGGGCTGGGAAGGAGGTGTTCACGTGCAAACTTGTGGTCACCATTTGCACCTAGACTGTCTTAAATCGTACTTACAATCACTTCGTAGTTCACAAAGGCAACAAAATCTGGCTGTGGATAGAGGAGAATATAATTGTCCTTTGTGTAGACAATTGGCTAATTCCGTTCTTCCTTTATCGCCTCAATTAGGCGAGTGCTCAGCGGTTGTGTGCTCTCGTCATTCGTCACCTGAAACAATACTCCTGGAGCTCAATAATTTTCTGAAAGAAATTCAACGAAGTCCCGTAAGTAGCGTTCTATTTATTTTTCTTTTATAAAAATTAGTAAGCATATTGATACATAAGTATATATATATATATATATATATATATATATATATATATATATATATATATATATATATATATATATATATATATAATTAATATAGCAGTGTAAATATGAAATTGTTATTTTTAGGTTACATCGAATTTAGCGATGGCAATGGGAAAGGCAATGGAAGACATGACAAGCTCTACTTATTTGAAATACAAACAAAAAAACTGGAGTACTAGTCATCAAAATCTGTTCCTTTTTGTTACATCCGTGGCGCGTACTAATTTCGAAGTCGAGCTTGTACAGCGGGGTGGTTCACTTTGCATACCACCACCTACAACGATTCCTCTCACACCGAAGCGTGAGTGCATAGGTACGTGCTTTGATGATTGCAGAGTATTAAAGAATTGATAACGATTTATAATAATAACTTGATTGTTTATACAGTTGCACTGCTATATGTGTTAGCCGTTCATGCAAGGGTGTTAACGACATGGCCTGTTCACCATACATGGCAACAATTATCGGGGTTACCCTTAGACCCAGTTCCACAATTAGCTCTTACAGGCCAAGAAGGAGAAGTTCCATTACTGCTAAGAGATCCAACTGCTCTACTTATTCAATTTATACTGTTGTTGCCACTTCATTTAGATCAAAGTAAGTGGAACTAGGCTCTGTATCAAGTGACAATTAGTTTTCGTTATGATAACATGGGATAAAATTTTGCAGCATACTTTTCCGCCGTGGTGAAAGTTTTGTATAATTTATTGTACTACCAAGTTGTATTACAAATTAGTTGCGGCTTAACGCAAGCTGAAAGAAGCGCTATCATTGGTCGAGGAATGTTAAATGATCGATCATGTCCGACAACTTCAGAGGCTATTTTACGAACTGTAATCACCTATTTCCGTGATAGTGAGCTTTATCACAATGACGATGCAACGTCAACTTCAGCAACGAATCATGCCAAGATAAGAAGCCACGTAATTGAGCAGCAGGTAAATAAGCACCATTTCAATCATCATATTCGAAAATTTCCATTTAAATGATTTGACTGATTTACTTAATCGATTAATTATAATTGTAATGTGTCTCTTAGATTCAAACATTGTGCTTGCCTTTTCTGCGAGTGGCAACACTGCTTCGACATCACTTATACGAGCAGCCGATACCTTTAATACGTTCTCCCGAAACTGAATTTGTAAGGCTTGTTTATTATTTGGAATTAGTAACCGAGGGTATGGACTGGAATTGCTTTAATGCATCGGTAGTATTAAACTGGCAAAACGAGGATGTGTCCGTTTCTGTACCAAGGCTTTGGTTCGATCAGTTTGGTGCCTTTGTCAGTCATAGTGAAATTGCTGCCAGAAGCTTAATCATTGATCAGCATATATCATGGCATATGCCAAAATTACTCAGTCTTCCAAGAGAGTATGAAAAAATCTTTACAGTAAGGGAACGTTTGAATATTTGAGTCTTTTTTTTTTTAATTTGGCTCATATACATATATACATATGCATATATATATATATATATATATATATATATATATATATATATATATTTCTGGTATAATGTAGTAATTATTACTATTTTAGTACTATCATGAACGACAGTGCCGCCAGTGCCATTCTGTGCCACAAGAAATAAGTGTGTGCTTGTTATGCGGTACAATTGTGTGTTTGAAGCAAAATTGTTGTAAACAATCAAATGTTTTTGAAGCCGTTCAGGTTAGTTGAATTTTTCAAAAAAAAAAAAAAAAAAAAAAAAAAAACAAAACAAAACAAAAAAAAATCTTTCAATGCTGAAACTTTTATAAAAAATCAATTGAAATTCATTTCAATTTGTAGCATTCTATAGATTGTGGTGGCGGAACAGGTATATTTTTAGTCGTGACTTCGACTTATGTCGTTGTGATTCGAGGAAGGAGAGCTTGCTTATGGGGATCTTTATATCTTGATGATTTTGAAGAGGAAGATAGGGATTTAAAGTATGTTTATAATATTTTATTAAAATTTTAATATACAATATTGTTTTAATTGAAAATCTATTAAAAACAGACGGGGAAAGCCTCTTTATCTAAGTCAGGACAGATATCAACTATTGGAACAACAATGGCTGGCCCACAGATTCGATCACACGAAGAAGACTTGGGTCGGACATCGAGATGCACTGTGACCCATTAAAATAAAAACCAATCCATCTGAAGTAATATTAAAATTTCGAGTTACGGCCCAATGCCTCGCCAATGTTCACAATGCTTTAAAAGTTAATAAATCCCTCTGATGGCATATAGATATTATATTTATTCTGAGGCAAAAAATAGATAAAATAATAAATGTAGGCTTAATATGTTAATTGAAAGTATTAATCGCGACGAAATTTTTATAGTGACGCTTTTGGAAATAATGTCTAGCAAAAATTATATTTTAAATCACTGTTTTATTTAAGACTCTGTATGGTTATAAATCCTAATAAAAATACATAGTATGTAGAACTTGAAGTAACAAAAAACTTACGATGAAATTCGTTTGCTAGACACGTTGAATTTTCTTTTCTCTTTTGCAGATTATCGATAAATTTGTACTTGCTTTTTTTCATATGTGGTTGATATGTAAAGTAATTCGATTATTAGTACAGTCGATACAATATTTTGTAAAAATTATGCTGCTATAATAGTGAAAGGAATAGACTGATGTCTTTTAAACATTATATTTATATGTTAAGAGTACTGCGAGATCATTACGAACAGCGAAGCGTTAGAACTTTAAACCTGCAGTAAAAAAAAATACTCTTTAATAATAATTTTCGAGGTATTGTTTAGCAGGATATTTTTCTTCTTTTTTCCTTCTAACAAAACTTCATCAAAAAGTTTTGAATAATTTGTTGTATTTTTATTTGCTTAAAATTTCTGTAGTTTTTAATCAAATTTAATCTGATACAAAAACTATTATATCTCAGTTATTAAGGTGACTGTAGTAGAGTGATTTACTCATAATTGTTTGATTTTCGAAAGGAAAGGACCATTGAAAAGGTTAAAAATAGGCTGTGTACGTATAACTTTCAAACGTGTTGGACGAGAAAATATGTACTCACACCATAATGTAAGAAAAATTATGCTGTACACCAGTTGTCCATCATATAAATTTTAGAAAGATTCATCAGAATATAACACTCCTTATTTTTGCGAGAAAAAAGTTCGTAATACTTTACGACTTATAATTCGATATTGTAAATATGTATAGGCGCAAGGACTGCCGCGGTGCAAATTGTAGCCTCGGCCAATTGCGAATTAACCACATGTACATAACTTACACAAAGTTATTCTGGAAATTTTTTTTATTTAGAAATGTTTTTGTCTAAGTATATAATATTTTATCATATTAAAAAGTTTATAATAGATCTGCTAAATCATTGAACGTAAGTAATAGAACGATACGATGAAATTAATATTGTGTTTTAAAAAGTAAAAAAATAAAACGCTATTGTACCAAAAGTATTATGTTAATTATTTATTTATTGTAACAATACATCCTTTAAGAAACTGAAAGAAGACTTATTTTCATAAAAATACCAATAAATAAAAGAAATTGTTTTGTCCAGAATTTATTTTCTCTTTCTTTTTTCTATTGTAAGATGAATACACTGTTAACTTAAACTATCTGACATATACATGATTATTTTTAGAAAAACTTTAATATTTGATTACAAACTTAAATGATCGTTAAAACTTTGGTACTTAAGTCGCTACACAATAATCGACAATGAGAGCAAATTTATCACCACTTGTATTTATAATTGAATATTGCATCTACTTAGTTTTTACAATGTTCTGGACTTTCAATTAGTACTTAAATATTTGGGGGGGGGGGAAAAAAAAAAAAAAAAAAAAAAAATTCAATTTCAATATAATGATAAAGGTAAAATTGTATGTTTTGCCTGGACAGAAATGTAATTTTGTTACATTATATATTAAAAAAAAAAAAAAAAAACCAAACAAAAAAAAACGATGCAACGCTACATTTCATGAAAAGGAAAAGTAATAAGACATTAAATATTATATAAATCTATTTTTGCTGTTAAAAAAAAAAAAGTAAATCAAAACTTATAATGTACGATTTATCTTTAAAATTATACGCGTGAAAAGAAAAGGTAAGTTTACTTTTATTAATTGCGTTTATAATCTGAATGCAATATTTTTGTTCAAGCTAGTTCACATCATCAAATATTCGCTGTTTTTTTAATAACATTGTGAATGATTAATTACTAAAAAAAAAAAAAAAAAACATTTGAATAATCAATTAAACTTAAATCTAAAAATGCGCAGGTTTCATTAATTTAATTAATAGACTACCATCAATTCTTATACAGTGGTAAATCAGGTGGTGTTTAAGTAATTCGGATTGACAATGTTACCAAGCATTAGAATTCTTACATACCATTCTCCACGGTATAAATATTAAAGGAAGTCTTATTGAAAATTTGAAGTACACTGGTAGAAAGAAGTTGAAAATTTTCTAAATTAAACTTTGACATCTGACTTTTGTTTTTAATGATGAATGAATGCGTATGGCTTATGAAAACAGTAATTATGATCTGTTTGTGTACAATGGGAATGTAAAACACCACTCCAGATTACTTATATGAAAATCATCAAATTACATTAAGATTTTTAAATACATGTCTTCAATGAAAAAAATGTGTTCTTTTCCATATTATCCTGACATTAGCCACTTTCACTTTTAGAAAATAATAAAACCAAAATATATGGCTTTCTATTATAACTTCTTAGTGTTCCCAGTATAGACCGCCTGTCTGCTCCTGATATACTTCAATAACATCATCGTTTTCCATTTCAAGCTAGAAAAATTGTAAACACAAAGATAAATACAGATTTGAAGATTTATAATATTAAATATAATGATATTTTCATGCTACGGATTTGAAATTTTATTTAAATTTGATCTTTAGTCAATTTTCAATAGTTACTTTGGTGGCCAAAGATAGTTTAATGCACATGCGCAGTTGTAATTTAATATTAATCGAACCAATAGTTATATATATTTAGTATGAGGCTGATCGATTAGAGAGTAAAAAAATTCCATGTAATTACAGACTGAATTTCGCTTGTAAATTTATATTTCATTTTAGTTGTTATACCGCTATGCCGTTCACAATTATATTTTCATCGATATATTTACTATATTAAAAACATTAAACTTTTAAATTAATAAAATTGTATATTTTCTATTTTATAATCGTTCGATGAAATCACACTGTGCACGATACTACTTGATAGCGTGTCTCTGCACAATCGATTAGTAACTATACGATGCGGTAAATATTCCATTAATATTTTGTGATTTATTGAACTGCATAAATAATATAATTACAATTTGTTTTCAAAACTAATAATCAATCGCTGAATTCATTTATATATTTCATAGATATGGAAATAATATTTGTATCATATTTTTATATATAATTTAAAAAAAAAATACTTTCTAATAACGTATAAATTAAATATCTTAAATTAATGCATTTTTAAAACATAACGAAAACTTTTAGAGTAAAAACAGTGGACAGCTTACTTATCCTCGACATACCATTACTTTAATAAAATTCACCATTTAATAATAAACAAGAATTTATAAATAATCTTTCACATCAATCAGTCGTACGTTAAATATACAAGCATGCATGCGTAGAATTAATTGTTATTTGAAGCAAATTCTAATAAACAAATTATCTTTAAATAAAAACTTATAAAGGAAGAATAATTGTGCATTGGCATTCTAAATTGTAGTAATTAGCTTGAAATAATGACCTATCGGTTAATCAATGCAATTTAATAATAGGCTGTGTAAATTTAATTTATAAACCAATCTCAATAGCAGCAAGAAGGCAACAAATTACAAGCAGTATCGACGCAAGTAAAATAAAATCTTTAATAAACAAAAAAAGCTTGTAGTTACCTGCTTTGGTGTTTCATCGTCGTTGATTCTTTTACCATCAAACAGAAACCTGAGCGATGTCATAGGTACACCCTAAAAATTACATGACAATGACGATATACTACAATAGGGAATAATAAAATTTCCCGCCTTCCCGAATACACCCTCCCTATCGAAGGATCATAGAGTACAAAAACACGAGGTTAAGGCTAATTAAAAAGAAGTTGTTTAATGGTAGAAATTTAAGAGAAAGTATTGTTGAAAGTGGAAAGGTTTACGATTGATGTAAGATGGATGAAAACGTAACTTACCACACGATCGCTGTAGGATTTCTTGAGTTTACCCATTTGCGTAGTCATTTTTACCCTAAAGTGGATTTCATTGCTATCCTGTGTGGGGACGTAAAAAGAAAAAAAATGCATGATGAGAAGCGTGGAAGAGTGTCGGGGTTAAAAGGATGCAGATAAAGCGTAGTCTGCCGCTGGTGTATAATATTAACTCACGTTTCCCACAACTTTGAGCTTGATGTACTCAGAATTCGCGTCGCCTGGGCCGGAATCGGGTTTCTGTTCCTGCAGACACGCGCAAAGGTTATAAAGCAGTTAAATGCAAGTGAAAATACGCCGGACGGCCGAGCGCCGATAATAACGACGGACATTCACCGTTCCGACGAATTCAATGACACAAAAACTCACCTGGTTGTCTCCCATTGTTACGAATTACGATGAAATTAGTCGAGCACACGCCACAACGGCAATCAAACACAAGCAGGCAATATGGCGCTATGCTTTTGTCAATTTCATAAGCTATTTGAAATTCAGTGAGCTCGCGCGTCTGTGTGCGTGTGCTGCGGTGCGTGTCGGCGACGGCGACGGCGACGGCGACGGCGACGGCGACGGCAGCGGTTGCAGCGGTGGGCGGCGAACGATGAGCGGCGTACGGGTGGTGGCGATACTAGCGGCGGCGACGGCGGCGGCGGCGGCGGCGGCGGCAGCGGCGGCGGCGGCAGCGGTAGCGGCAGCGGCAGCGGCAGCGGCAGCGGTGGCGGTGGCAGCGACGGCAGCGGCAGCAGCGGCGGCAGCGACGGTGGTGGTAGTGGCGACGGCGGCGTCGGCGGCGGTGACGATGAAGGATAAGGTGACGGTGGCGGTGTGGCGATAGCGTTAGACGCTGATACAAATAGCAGATAAATTCTCTTTCCCGATGCGACGGAGCGCAATGAAAAACTATGCACTATGTATGACGCCTCGAGTTCGAAGAAGACTTTTCTCAAGGCGGCGTCAACGATGCTGATGACGGCGGCGTTCGGAAAAGCATCGTCTACGTACCGGAAGTCGGCGCTCATTCGCCGCTGATTCGTCGTCCGGGCCCGAGCTCAGCTTGTCCATTTTTTCAAATTCGACCGTTATTACGCTTGTCCACTTTTCGTACGCCACTTCCTCGGTTCCCTCCCTTCGCCGCGGCGCCCATGACGATAGCTTTTCCTCACAATACTCCAACCGTTTCGAGGTTGTTGTTGGATAATACAACGTTGTATTATTGTCATGGTTTGGGCAAATCATCGCGATCACGAATTTTACGGACCGCCCGCTCTTACAAAACTACGGGGAGGAGCGAGTTGCTGGTTTTTCTTTGTTTCTTTTCTTTTTTTTTTTTTTTTTTTTTTTTTTTTCTTTTTTTTTTTTTTTTTCTTATTTTCTTATTTTCTTATTTCCATTTTTTACTTTCTATTATCAATATCGAATATTAGCTTTGGTTGGAAAATAGCTGTGTACATCTGTTTACATTGTTACGAAGAAAATGTGTGCGTCGAACATATTTACACTCTTATTATTAGTAGCAGCTCTGCATTGTCGTGTTCCCTTTTCTTTTGTCAAGGCATTTACTTATTTATTAGTAGTATAAGCATTTGCGAAAAACGGCTATTGAAGACGGCTGAGCTGCATATTGCAGGATGATTTGAAAGTTAAGAAAAAGGGGCCTTCTTGTCCTGGTAAAAATGTAGACGGAATCACGTGATAGGTACCTGCCGGTACATCATCCATTTCCAAATAAACAAAACCAGATCTGGAATTAAATGTGTAAAATAAATTTGAAACTTTAGAATAAAATGTCGAGCAATGGTGTTGGCGCGGATTGACAATACCTACCGAAAAGGGCCAGAATTTTTACTTTTAAAAGCGGTGGTCGCTTCTGGATCGTTCAAAACTACCGTTAAAATTTCGAAGCCAATTTCATATTGCTTAGGACCCTTCAATATTACGAGTAACCAATTATTGTTACTTGAACCTTCTATGATCAGTTGGTATCTAGGGTTATTAATAAATGTTGCAATATGGTTGCTGCATCCACCAGCGCTAGCCCCTTTCCACTGGCCATCTGTGATCTGATATAAATTTTTTATTAACATATCGTTGCTCTCGACTCGAACAATTGGTACAATTGTTATTAAGATCGAAAGTTTTGATAAATCTTGAAAATGTAACTATAATTTTAACATAGCACTAAGTTATCAATGTTTTTGATATCTCTAATGTAATGTTGTGATGTAAATCATGTAGAATAATATATGATTTGTTATGAAGAATATTGCAAATAAAATTACTACTTTTATCTTAATATATTTTTTTCCAGTTTTAATGAGGAAAAATTATTTTACATATTGTATAGATAAGTAATGGCAGTAAAATTAAAATATCTTCATTTTTTTTTTTTTTTTTTTTTTTTTTTTTTTTTTTGTTATTTATGATTTTATGTGTCGATATTAAAAATTCCCGGCAAACTAATTATTAATTATGCCATTAACAAGCAAGATTTTGAAAAATAATTTGATTCGATGAAATAGTTGAAGGAATGGATTTTTTGTTGTAATAATCTAACGAAATAAAATTTTCCCGTACCTCTTTCTCATATTTATAAGGCTCTGCTATTTTCCGTAATATAAATGGAGAAGTTCCATAAGCTCGAAGTGTGTAATAAATAGTATTTATCTTTTCATATTGCGATATCACGAGAGTATAGCGTTTATTATGATTGTGCCCAAGTTTAATTTTACATAAATAATGTGGACTATTTATTCTTATTCCATCGATGTAAGGTGGTGGATCATCTGCAGCAAATTTATATCATAAAGATAATACGCTTAATAATTAGACAAACATTTCCAATTTGAAAAATTTTAAGTTATTTCTTTATATCAATTACTTATGTTACTTTTACTCAGTGCATAGTATATTCAAGGCATTCCTCCTATATAGTTTTTTGTTTACATAATAAAAAATAAATCTTAGTAAAATACGATTCGTAGTATTATATATCACAGCTCCAAAGTTTTTAAGAACTAAAAAATATTACATGTCATAATAGAATTTTTTCATGCTTTGCACTTATGAGCTTGGTGATGTTAAATGTAATTGTATGATGCATATTTTTTTTTTTTTTTTTTTTTTTTTTTTTTTTTTTTTTTTTTTTTTTTTTAGTGTAATGACATTGGAAAGAAGGGCGAAACAAATAAGATTTTATATGTAGTTTAGCTTAGTTAGGAGTAAGAAAAATAAAGTCTACCATAGACATTAAACGAACAATAAGTTTGTCACTCATTATAATGATGAACAATCTATTATTACTATTATTACTATTATTATTATTATTATTATTATTATTATTATTATTATTGTAGTTGTTGTTGTTATCATTATTGTTATTATTATCGTCGCCGTTGTTGTTGTTGTTGGTGGTGGTGGTGGTGGTGGTGGTGGTGGTGGTGATGTGTCCGTTGTGTGGTTGTTGTTGTTATGCATATAAGTATTTACAATCATTGGAAAACTTTTTTTAAAAATTCAATTATAAATCGAATGAGTCCTTAGCACATATTATCAATCGACGTAAATCCACCATCAAATTTTATAAAAATTACAAATTAAAAAGTGCACCTTTATCAAAGACAATCGTATAATTTATTAATTAATTTATGATTAGGAAAAAAAAAAAAAAAAAAAAAAAAAAAAAAAAAAAATATGCATCATACAATTACATTTAACATCACCAAGCTCAAAGATTTAGAAATGAATTAATTTAACTTTTGCTTCTTTGTCCTCTGCATTTTTTCTTTAGCTTAATTCTCAGAAAAATACTATAATTCTTCACCAATAAGTTAAATGAATTAAATAAATGGCCACTGTAATGCGAAATAGGACAAGAGTGACGGGAAAATGTGAGCGGAAACGTGCGTTCGGCAAACCGCTGATACGAGCTCAATTTGTACCAGCAGATCCGTTAAGAGAAGATTCCGAGAAAGAGATCTATTTGAGATGCCCACTTGACGCAACGGTCGGGCGGCAATGCTTCGCGCTTATTCGATAACTTTTAACTTTATTATTTATATGAGCGATAGCGTACATTTTGTTTTAACGAATGCACACTACATCGATTTGCTCAGTTAAGCAAGCTGGGGAGCTTATACGATTGAAGGTCAAGCGAGGCGAGCTGATGGGCACAATAGAGTAAAGGAGAGGGAGGCTTTAACGCGAAGCCGTTCTTTTTATCGCCCATTTAAAACACCTTTGAAGCTCCAAGTTTTAAGATTTTACGTTCTATCGGTATGCCGCTGCTCATTATCAGCAATTGCTCCCTTAAATGTGCAATCTACTTTAGCTTTTAGCTTCTCTTTAACTTTAGCCTGTTGGCACACTCTGCTATTCTATTTTCATGCCATAAATTCAAATATGCTTTTTGGCAAAATTTCTTCTTTATGTAATAGTTAGCGAGCAATGCGCATGCATTGTTATATATTGATTGGTCCTATTCGCCTTAGGGCTTCTTACATTTAGATTAGATTGCATTATGTTCGTGCTCATTGTATTTCTATTCTCAATTAAGCATTTAACAGCGGCGGGCCATTCATTAGAATCGCTTGTGCATTCTAATCTCAATATTGTTTATATTAAGTCATTTATGAAACTAAGGATTGAGTAAAGTAGTGCTGCTACGTCTTCTGCCCGTAATAATTATTTTTATTCGATCGAATTTGTCTTCTTATAAATCAATAGGCAGCGATAAATAAGTTCTTTCTAATGTAAATTTAAATCGCTTAAATTATTTTATATTACCTATTTATTCATTAATTTTAACAAATGCATTATTCAGACGTTTTGTATAATCGATCTTTTCTGATATTCAGAAAATTAAAACTTGAAAAGCTGTTAAAAGGGGTTTTCAGGGAATATGGAAGAAAAATGAAGAGCAAAGTTGAGGTCGAATTGTGAATAGGAGAAATGTCTTTTATGATTTTTTTTTTTTTTATTAGTGTTATTTAGCAATGTAATTATACGTAAAATTATTTACAATAATATTCAATTCAAAATTATTATAAGAATGTCCCCGCCAATTAATTAGTTTTTAAATGAAATAATCACGATTAATCGGTATTCGGTATAAAAAAAAAAAAAAAAAAAAAAAAAAAAAAAAAAAATCTTTATATTAGGGGTAAATATTTACCCTTATTTATTATCATTAATTGTTTTCTTAAACTCATTTGTACAGATTTATTCTACTATATATAAAGAGTACAAATTATAATTCACATTTAGGTTAGAACATTTGTAATGCTATTTGACATTTGAATTTTAATAAATGTATGCACCAAACAAGATATTTTATATATTATAGGAGCTTAAAATTATTTTTTGATACATTCTTTTATAATTAGAGATTGAAAATGTAGACCACAGAGTTGCACATATGAAAACAATAACTATATTAAGATTTATAATAAATTCGAATTTGCGATAATCTATAAATGCGTACAATGATAAAATTTATTCAAAATTCATTAAAATTTAAATTCATAAATAATTACAATATAAATTTGATACGAATATATAAATAAAACTCTACCTTACAAACAGACATTATTAAAACAAGCAAAATGTAGTTATCGTAATATATATAAAAATAAATATAACTAGGAGCTATTAATAAATTACTACAATAATTAATTATATAAAAACTTTATCAGAGTAAGTTGACAAATATATATATATATATAGATGTATGCCATAGATAATTTATCTATTTAGAGTTGATAGAATTTTCATTCGGTAAATTGTTGTTTACATCCATTATTTGGACATTATATTTGACCAAAATACCATGTTACTAATAATTTATTTATTGCATATTATTTAGTGTATTTATACTAACAATAACAACAATAACAACAATAACAACAACAACAACAACAACAACAACAACAGCAAGAACAACAACAATGATAATAATGATAATGATAATAATAATGATAATAATGTATAATGTTAACGATAAATTATCAATAGTATTAGCTGTTATAATAATAATGTGTAACCAGTAGGAAGCAATCGATAGTACTTACGACGATAATACACTCTTTTTCCATCATTTTTATAGACAAGGACCGTTATGTATTCCTGATTTTCACGGAAGTCGGCTATATCGGTAATATGCCTAGTCAATAATATCCAAATTGTGCCTGTTACATCTGGCTGAACCTCTAATGAAAACTGTGGATTGTCACCAATGTTATAAGCATCCTTTACAGGACCCGTTCCTGCTTTCCACGACCTGAAAAGTAGTAAAATATTTATACACTTACAAACAAATTAATCAACATAATCATATGTATGCATGTGTAGGAATTCACCGATGAACTTACTGGTGAATGCAATAAGTATAATTAAACAATTCAGGATTCCAATTGAAACAGAAGACGTCAAAGAAGTGACAAATACTTTCAAAATCGATCCAAAAAATACCATTGTCAAATTGAGATGCTGAATCTGGATCATAATTTAAAGCTTCTCTCAAAGCAGGTGTCCAGTGTTTCATATCAAGTTCAGAATAATTTCCTCGCCATCTTAAATGAGACCAGGGATTTTTTAACTGTAATAATTTTTCGCCCTACATCAAACAGGAGATATTGAAACCATGACAATTATTAAAATTATTGATAATAAAATGTAGAAATCAATTTTGTTACACAAACATCGATTTTTCTAACATCCAACACGGCGTAAGCATGCGTAGGAACAAGGCCAGTGCGCTCTGCATCAGCATCCGAAAGCTCTCCCGTGGATACAGTAATTAACGCATCCCCTTTATGCAATCGTAAAAGTATAGTCTCAAACAAATGATCTTTATTAAAGTCTAGCTCATTGGGTCTTATGGCCCACCTCTCTGGTATCCACCCAGTAAGTGCATGTAAATCAATATTCTAAAATTATAATAATACAATTATCATACGATTATAACTATCATAATATAATTATTGTTGATTGTATTGTAGCGAAAGTTTTTAAAATATGCACGTAAAATATTTACACTATTAGAACCAGGAAAATCATATCCTCCCATTACTTTCATGTAAGCTTTTTCTATCAATGAAATCCATAATTCTCCTCGATTATTTGAATATGAACACAATAATTTATTATATCGGCTTACAGGCAAAAGATCGTCTATTACAACCTTCCTTGGAATACCGTTAATGTGCAGTTTTATCATGTACTTTCCTAATTTAAGGGGCAATGTTATTTTTGACATACTATCACGCAATATTTTCTGTACTCACCGAAAGGATTATAAATTGGTTCCTTATTTTTATTCTTAGGATATATAATAGAAGTGATAAGCCTACGACCAAATTTTTTTTCATACTGTGCGCTTACCGCTAGGGAAGCAACAAGCGAGCAGTCTGATACAACCTAAATAATATTAAAAAGCTTAATATCCTACCGTCCAATTATTACAAATGTATTTGATTAATTTTTTAATAAAATAAAAGCACCTACTGTTTGTTTTATACTGTAATAGTCTACTACGTGACCGACTACCATTTTTGGTTCTGAAAACAGTTCTTCCGGGCGACACCATCGTGCAAAATCTGGTTTTTGTTTTGGTGATAATTTTAATAGGCCATCTTTATCGGTAAATGGAATGGCATACTGAAATCTTTCGGATAAATCGACATTCATAAAAGGCACAAATTCGTGGTCATTGATGTGGGAACTGTGTAACAGGACTCTTTTCTCTTCTTCCGTATAATTACCACTGCCTCCAGTTACTTTCAAATGTATGCTATTACCTCTGTGCGTATAAGATTTTGCGGGCCTTAGCGATGCTACATTGAATTTGTGATTTTTGCAAATTAATACACAGATGATATTGAGTATACAGTTTAATCGTAATAAGAGAATTAGTCGTAGCCCATAAAATTGTAAATATTTTGTATATACCTGAGTCGAATGATGATGGAGTTTGGGATGTCAGTGTGCCTGTTGGATCAGTTTCAGGAACCGATGGTAAACTTGGCAAAATACTTTCTATATCAATTTTTTTAATTCCTTTTAACGATTCCGCCCTGTCCAAAGCATGACGAACCAAATTTGTTATTTTAGTTTTTTTGTTACTTGTGATTTTCTGAAAATATCATTCCAATGGAATTTTATAAACAATTGTTAATTTAAAATAATTTAAAGGGCAAATAAAAAAGAAAAAAAGAAAGAAAAAAAAAACGAAAGAATTTTAGTTGAAGGAAATACAAATTTATTTACTTACAGCTTTTAATCCAAGTTCTGCAGCATTCGTGTACAGTTTAATAGCTTCTTCTTTAAAACCTGCCTCATCAGCATCCAGAGCTTGATTAAGTAAAAATTTACATCTCTGGAGCTGACTTTCAGGAGGTGTTTCTTGCTCGTCTTTTTTTCTTTCCTCCTCTAAAACTATTTAAATATACAATAGAAATTGACAGTTAAAGAAAACAATGGAGCATGTATTATAATAGAATAAAAGTTTTAATTGAAAAGTTAATTATTATTAAAAGCAAATTGCCATTGTATATGTACTTGTCTTTTGTATCTCAACTATTCTGCCTTGATATTCCACGCATTTCTCGGCTAAAGCTGGAACGGTTGATAAGTTTTGTAACAATTGAATGGCAATGCCATAATAATAAACAGCTTGTCTGTATTGTTCGTTCTTATCAAAATCTACTGCTCTTCTAGCTGCGTCTAATGCACCTTCTAAAGTTTCATCCATCTTGCCAAACACACATTAAATACTTATCAAAAGTTTCTGAAAATCATTTCGCTATAACAACACGAATATTTAAAATAATATGTATTAAAAAATAATAGCCAATGTATCGCGGAATAATATGTAAATTTGTTTTCTAGGTTATGTTTCCCTAACGTCATAGCAATGCTAATTTAAAAAGTGCGCACAAGTCCATGACACACAGTTATTGTTGGAACAGTTACTCGGCAATAGATCGTATAATTAAGTAGCAAAGAACGAATTAATGAAATATTTCATTACAATAAATATATTTTATGCGAATAATTAAAATAGTTGTGAGCTAGCAATTGGGTAATACTTAGGTAATATAAACGGGCGCTTGCGAAGCAGAAGAAAAATGATTTTTAAAGGAGAGTTATGTTTGGAAATATATGTGCCATATAACAGGATAATTGGAGTATTAAAAAGGAGAATACGCGTATGGATAATATACAATTAAATCAGAAAATGAACAAAAATTATTTAAAAACCAATAGGCTAGCTTATGAAAATACTATGTGGCGATTATTTTTTGCTAAGCAGTGTCGTTATAATCCGCTGTCTCCTATTAAAATTGCTAATATTAATACATATATATATATATAAAATAAAAATAAAGATAAAATTTTAATCATATTGTGTTACAATAATCTATATGTAAAATGAATAAATTAGAAAATACATTAAAGAAAAGTTAAGTGTTTCGTTACGAGCTCGTATCAAAATATAGCTGACGCGATTCTTTATTTAATATTTCACGATAAAAAATAAAGTTTCTTTATTACATCAAAATTACTAATAGAGACTAATAAAGAAAATTTACAAATTATCGACCTATCGCTCAAAATAATAAGTTTGAATTCATCGGAACATTATGATTTTACGTGCTTTCGTGCGTATTTATTTACTAATAGAATAGAATGCACAAAATTTGGAAAACGTAATTAATGTTAATTTCAAATGTACTGTTATGAATTATGCATTGGCATACGTTAATTGGTATATAAAATATGGAATGATTGTTAAAATAATATCGAGCATTTCAAATGTTTGGATGGGATTTCTTTCTACATCTGTATTACGTTTGTACAAAATTACGCATTTACGATCTGCTTTATTTCAAAGATTACGTTTAAAGATTTAATATTATGTATGGTGCTATTAATATATATATATATATATATATATATATATATATATATATACGTAGTATTACCGTGTAATTATTTTATTTACACGTAATTTTCGTTATAAATTTTTTATGTCATCTAAGATTTGCGGTGTTATGTTATAATTTGTCTATACATTTAACAATTTCGGATGATTTTTTTTTTTTTTTTTTTTTTTTTTTTTTTTTTTTTTTTTTTTTTTTCT